TTCTGAATTCTAAGTCTCATAAATGTCAAAAGTTATTACAAGAGTAGAAATTACAAATATATAGAGGTAGGTAGCTTAAGGAGCAAGCTAACCTTAACCATGGTTCACTAGGAACCATGGTAAGGTTAGTTGACCTTCTAGGTGAGTTTAGAAACTTGTGGAGCAAGCTTCTCACTTAGCTTTCTTGGGAAGCAAGCTAAGGAGAAGCTTGTAGCACAAGCTTCTCATCTCCTTGAAGGTTAGAGAAGCAATTTGGTCAAAGAAAGGAGACTAGGCAAGGTGGGCGGATTTGGTCTCTTTTGGTCGTTGAATTAATTTCAAAAATGTTTGATTTGGTTTAGTTAGGTTCATCCAATGATGATGAGACCTAGCTAAATCAAATCTATGAAAAATTAGGAGCAAAATGAGTCCAATATGTAAAATTTTTCCTAGGCCCAATTCTGGCCCAATTACTAGTCACACCCTCAAACATTGCTAAATGCCACCCCTTTTTTCCTACGAAAAAAATAAAAAATGAGTGTATCAACAAAGGAGGTTAAATGGAGTCAAACTCTCCAAGTAACCCGCCCTAGAATTAATATACAATGACTAATAAAAGAAACTAAAATGCCTCACAAATACAAAGGAAAAACTAAGCCTATACAAGAGAACTATGTACAAGATATTTACAACTAGAACTATGCCTTCTCTTCATGATAGAGTGGTCCAAATTGAAGAGTACCTTGGGCTTGGAAAGCCCACTGGTCTTCAAGGTGTCCACTAGTCTTCAAGGTTGCCATAGCTCTAGAGATTGGACCCTTGGCCCATGGTCCATCATCCCATTCCTCTTAGTTCCTTCAATGTATCACCTCTTGGATTCCTTGGCCTTGTCCATAGTCTATCAGCTAGCAACTTCGCTCGCAAGCGACACCTGCATAGCGTCAACCATGTCCAAAGTCGGTCACCACCTCACAAGCCAAAGAGCCCACCTATCACCTTCACCGACGAGGACTATGCCGATATCAACCCAAATCAGGATGACCCAGTTGTCATCTCCGTCGAGGTCGCAAACTAGGCAGTTCAAAAAACTTTAATTGACCAGGGCAGTTTAGCCGACATTTTTTACTGGCCCACCTTCATCTAGCTGGACATACCACACTCACTTATCCAACCTCATAATGAGCCCCTAGTCGGCTTTACCGGGGAGCGCATGCACACCAAAGGATACGTTGAGCTACTAACCACCTTTGAAACCCCGCCCTCGACCAGGAAGGTCATGGTGAAATACCTCCTCGTCGAAGCCTACACCTCCTATAACATCATCATCGGCCGACCTACTTTGAACTAGTTGGGCGCAGTAGTGTCAACCCCGCATCTCACCATGAAATTCCCCAGACTCAACAGAGACATCATCTCCATAAAAGCAAACCAAACAACTACCCGTCAATGCTACGCGGAGAGTCTTAAGGTCTCCACCCCACGCGTTAACCCGCCACCTCAAGCAACGGTAGCCCACATCGCTAGTCCAATGCTGGCCGACTTGGACCCCGATCTGACTCCACTGATCAAAGGCCAAGCCCTGTCGACGAGCTCATAAAATTCCAAATCGGCCAAAACTCGGACCAGTGCAATAGGGTAAGCCAAAACATAAGCCCGGAACTATGTCGGAAAATAATCGCTGAGGTACGTAAAAATGCTGACCTATTTGCTTGGTTAAGTGCTGACATGCTAGGGATTAGTCCCAACCTTATATGCCATAGGCTCGCCATCCATAAAGAAGCAAAACCCGTAGCATAGCGCTGGCGCAAGGTCAGAGGCGAGAGGCATGATGCTGTAGCCAAGGAAACTTAGAAGTTGCTAACCGTAAGATTCATTTGGGAAATCATCTACACCACCTAGCTCGCCAACTTGGTGCTAGTAAAGAAGAACTCAGAAAAGTGGAGAATGTGTGTCGACTACACCGACCTCAACAAGGCGTGTCCAAAGGATGCTTACCCACTACCATGCTTACCCACTACCAAGCATAGACAGGTTGGTGGATGGCATCTCCAGCCACGCTCTCCTTCGCTTCCTAGATGCCTACTCAGGATACGACCAACTCCCGATGTATCCCCTAGACAAAGACAAAACAACATCCATCACCGAACGCGCCAACTTTTGTTATCGAGTAGTGTCATTCGGCCTCAAAAACACCAGTGCCACCTACCAATCGCTAATGGACAAAGTCTTTCATCAGTAGATCGGTAAAAACATGGAGGTCTATATTGATGACATGGTCGTAAAATCACCTCGACCGGATCACACATAGTCGACTTGGCCAAGGTGTTCGGAGAAATAAGGAAACATAACATGAGGTTAAACCCTGAGAAGTGTGCATTTGGGGTACAAGGAGAAAAGTTCCTAGGCTTCATGATCACCAACAGGGAAATTGAGGCAAACCCCGAGAAATGTGAAGCCATCATTAACATGAAGTTCCCCCAGACATTAAAGGAGGTGCAAAGATTGGAAAGTCGGTTAGCTTCCCTCTCACGCTTTATACCAAAGCTAGCAGAGAAAGAAAAGTCGATCTTCAACCTATTACCAAAGCCCTAGTAGTTCGCCTGGACTGAGCAATGTGAAGCCGCATTCTTAACCTTCATGCAATTCCTCGTCACTCCACCAATCTTAACTTGACCAAAAGACCAAGGCGAGCTACTCCTATATCTTGCAGCTACTGACAACGTGATTAGTGCAACCCTCGTACAGAAGGACGACGCGAAGCAGGACCCAATATACTTCATCAGTCGTGTCCTCCAAGATACGGAGATGAGGTACCAAGCCATTAAAAAGCTAGCCCTAGCACTTGTCACCGCTGCCCAATGACTCCGACCATACTTTTAGAGTCACCAAATCATCGTCAAGACTGACTACCCCATTCGACAGATACTCTAGAAAGTCAAGCCCACCGGGCAAATGATCGCATGGTCAGTCGAGTTATCCAAATTTGGAATTTAGTATGGAAGCAGGGGAATACTTAAGTCCCAATTTTTGGAAAATTTTGCTGCCGAGCTGACCCTTGTCAAATCAGAAGATTAAGAAACTTGGACACTACATGTGGATGACTCCTCCAACCTAAAAGGGGGAGGCACTGGCATCATCCTAGAAGGACCCAACGACATCCTCGTCGAGCAATCTTTAAAGCTCGATTTCCAACCCACCAACAATCAGGCCGAGTACGAAGTGCTCCTAGCCAGATTGAGGTTGGCACATGACGTCAGCGCTAGGAACATTCGTTGCAATAGTGACTCCAAACTCATGGTAGAACAACTTGCAGGTACCTACCAAATTAAAGACGCCCTCTTGCAACAATATCATCTCACAACCTTTGCGTGGACCTCATGCTTCTAGAAGTTCACAGTTCACCATGTACCTCGAGAAAGAAATGTTAGGGTTGACCTTCTCTCAAAGCATGCCAACACCAAATGCTCGGGATAACACAAAACCATTATCCAAGAAACCCTATCCTCTCCAAGCTTGGAAAGTGAGGTAATCTGCTCAACTAAACCGTTCAAGAAAGATGGATGACCGATATATGGCGCTACCTAAACGAAGGAATCCTTCCCAACGACAATATCAAAGCTCGATGAATTAAAAGTCAATCACCTCGATTTATCATCGAGTCAGGCGAGTTGTTCAAACGAAATGTCTCAATGTTGCTGCTCAAATGCCTCGAGAAGCCCCAAGCCGAGTATGTTCTCAAAGAAATACATAGGGGAATATGCAGACTACACTCGGGAGCACGCTCCATGGCTGCTCGGGTTATCTGTGTAGGATATTATTGGCCTACGTTGAGATCAAACTGCAAGGCCTACGTCCAAAGATGCAAGCCCTGCCAGGAGTTCGGCCACATACCTCGCCAATCCCCCGAGGCCCTATGCCAAATGCAATCACCTTGGCCTTTCACGCTATGCGGAATGGATATCCTCAGACCCTTCCCCTTAGCCAAAGGTGATGAGGTTCCACTTGGAAATCCTCAAGAATCCTTC